GTGTTCAAATATAATTCAAATCTGTGTTTGACGTCTAGACCTGCATATTTACCTGCTTGTGTAACAAGATCAATGCTAAGCCTTGAAAAACCAGCCAAGTTCAGGTTGTCCACAGAGGATCTCACTTGAATCCCATTCTGTGGTTTCCCACCTGGGAGTGGGTTAGTCATCTTGTTGCAGGAGTCATTGATAGATCCCTTCTGCTCTTTTCTTCATCCATATCAGATCCATTACCGGATTAACTCAAATTCTACTTCTACATGTACTTCAAAGGAATCCAAATTTCTCTAGCCTTTTAGGCTCAAATCCCCATCAAATTACAATTGTATCAAACTACTGTACCATTATCATACAGCTGAATAGCAGCTTTTTCTCTGCTCTATTGATCAAAGTTTTGCTCCCATTCTACTCACTGAGCTCTAGTTGGACTGATATTTTCTGAATTCCAAGCCATCTGAGCATCACCAGATTAATATCCATGGATTGCTTCTTTTTAATTCTAGGAGGGATATAACATTCTGTAACACGTCCTCAAGAGCTCTTCATGCCATCATATTTCTTTCTGGTACACCTCGACCTTTCTCTCACTTTCTCTATTTCAGATTTTTTGGCTTGTTTTAGGAGCCTGGGTCCATCCACCTCCCTCATGCCATGGGTACATGTGGTGTTCTGATGTTTCCTTTGCTGTGAACACTACTTTTCTGATTCTAGCCTAATTCTTGTGTAATCTGTTGGAACTCAACTCTAATATACGTATTCAGGAAAGCATTTTCTGACCTCCTTGAAATTTTTATATTTGGAATTTCCTATTGCTTATATGATTAATAATTTTCTTTTGTGATTGATTTGTAGTTCCTTGAGAGTTCAGTGCATATTGATTATGTCTACTATGTTTGTTTATGTATTCCTAGTGCCTAAGGTTTTGCTTGGCATGTGTAGTCATTCAGCACATAATTTCTTATTTTTCCATTCCTTTCAGGTCTGCTGTTTTCATTATTAACTGCCATTTAGAGCAACCAGAGTAATAGATATTTGCGGTTTTTAATACTTGCCAGTTCCAACTGAAGGTAGATATGGCAGCAAGAATGGGTAATTATCATCTTTAAGTATGTAAAGAAGTATAAAACATAACCTATGTAGGTTTCAAGGAATTAAAATAATTACATTATTATTTCTTATTTTTCAAATAATAACTAAATCTGAGTAAAATAACTTTTTTTTTCTTTTTTTTAGATAAAAGTACACTGTTTTTAGAGTATATGTCACGATTTATTTTGGGCCAATTGCCAAGTGCTGAGTGAGTATTTTTGTAGCCATAAAGAACTATGAAAGACTATATTTCCTTGTTTTTATATATAACTATTTGTCCTCATACTGATCTATCTATATCTATCTCAGTGTGCTTATATATACGTACATGTATGATACATACATTATATCGATAATCAATACATTGAACAAATTCAATTACTCATGATAATGCTGAAATGATAAGAATAGTGCTACTGCTTTTATGGACCTCATTTAAATGATACATTTTAATTATTTTTGTTTTAGATATTCCAGTTTATTTAATGATTTTGTTGAGTCTGAATACTTTCTGATTGATGGGGATTCATTATTTATCACATGTGTATGTGAGGAATTATCACACAAGGAACAGAATCTCCATTTCTTCTACATTGTGGAATATTACCTCATGGATCTTATTGGTAAAGGAGGACAATTTACCATAGTTTTCTTCCAGGTAACATGACAGTTGAGTTTGTTTCTGTGATTTTAGGACTAAAACAAAATTATTTATATTATTTTATAAGTAGGTCCATTATTACAAAGTAAAATATACCTTGAAAATTTCAGTAAAATTGAAAGGAAAAAGGGGAAAAAATTTATCCCAACTCCTAGTACTGAGCAATGGCTATACCACTTTATCATTACTGTTTATTTTCAATAAAATAATTTCATTATAAGGACACACTGAATCATGCTAGTGGGTGAAAAATAATTTTCATTAGAATCCAAATTGTTCTCATCCTTTAACTCTGAGAACTAATTCTGTCTTTAAAAAGCAGCAGTAAATTTACTTGAGCACAAAATAAAGTATATTTGAGTCCAGACAAACTTGACAAGCCTGGCTTCCATTTATTTGCTCTTGTCTTAGTTACTCTTCTTTTGTTGCTGGGACAAATACCCGACACCCAAAATGAAGGAAGGAAAGGTTTATTTAGCTCACAGTTACTGGAGGGTTCAGTCCATTCAGTTGGTTTCAAGGCAGAGCAGCACATAGCAGAAAGCAACCTTTCATGGTCATGGCAAAGAGCAAGAGTGCATGGGAGGGGTAGCAGCAGCTCAAGCAACTAGCTCCTCTTCCCTCCTTACACTGTAATGCAGATTACCTGCCCCAGGAAAGGGGCAGCATCCACACCCACAGTGATCAATCACAAACTCCAGAAGCTGCCCCAAGACTGCATGAGGCTTTGAGGGGACACCTAGACACAAACCATAACAGCTCTGTAGTAAATATCTGCAACAGAACACCACATTTGGTTTTCTTATGATTACTATAATTAATAACATTTCAATGCTTTCAAATACAGATATGCGTAACCTCTACCACTACTTCCTAATTTTACTCTGAAAGGTAACTAATATGCTATTCAAAAACTTTGATATGGACCTATTCAATCATTTTGCATTCCATGTTATTGTTGTAATTGTGAATATTTCTGCATGTTTGCAGCAATGCTTTGAAAAAGAAAAAAATTCAGCATTCTGGCCTATTGTTTAGCAGCTCCACACATTATTTTGGTCTGCTAAGATAAACCTTCCCACCTGAAGGAAGGTAGCAGAAAGTACCTGGGACAGTCCTCTAGAACAAAGAGAGACACCTCTACTCCTAAGGAGAGAGAATCATATCTATATTTTTTTTTCCTGTCCATTTTCTTTTTGAAATGAGATTAGAAAGGCAAAGGATTAGTGAATGGGAAGGTAAAGTATGGTAAACCTTGAGTGTTATGTTTGCAGACCAGGGATACAGGTTTTTAAATTCAAATTGTGACTTAGAACAAATATTTATAAAATGGTGGTCAAAATGTAAACCTCTATTCCCAACAAAACTGTATTAAATTTTATTCCTTTAATCCTTTAGTTACATCTTAAGCAAGTAAATTACAGAGCTGCTAATGAAATTTTCAAAATAACAGTTCCCCATTTCCTCCTTACAGGATTCTGAGTATGCATATTGTAGATTTCCTGAACTTCTTCCTCTAAGAACTGCTTTAATTCTTCATCTTCAGAAAAATACGAGCATTAATGTTTGTACTCAATTCACTAGCTGTTTATCAAAGGAGTGGAAAACGTTTTTGGATGAGAATTACCCATATTTCCTAATAGTTGCAGATGAAGGTCTGAATGATCTGCAAACACACTTTTTCAACTTTTTAATCATTCAGTCTTGGTCAGTGAGAGTCAATGTTGTGCTTTTCTCTGGGCAAGCATCTGATGTTATTCGGCTTTATGCATACTTTATGTCAAGTCTGCACAAGAACCAGATATTTTTCAAGAAGGTAATGTCTGAAAGGCAGTGCTCTTCTAGAACTGTATAAAGTTTTCTAAATTATGCTTGTTTTGACCTTTTATATGGGAGTTATCAAAGTTTTAACAAAGAAATAGAGAAAATTGACAACAATAATAGTAATAAATAATAGAAATAATGCAAATGTATCATTTATTTAATATTTATAATTATGTATTAGTGCTTGAACTTCCCTTGAATGACTGCTTAACTTTCACAATAACACCATAGGGCCTATGTTAACATCGTCTAAGTTTTACAAGTGACGAAACAGATATTTGAATAAATGGTCTGATGTTCATCAATACCAAATGGGTAATAAAACATGAATCTGAAAAGATTCAGCGCAGCTCCAGCCCCTGCATTCTTAACTACTGTCTGGCGTATTGACTCCAACTTAATTTGGCCAGAGATGCATTAAGACAGACAGAAGTTATGCTTGTCTTGCTGAAACACACCTGTGCAATGCGCTCAGCTTGCTGTCCTTCACCAAATGTCTCAGTGCAGCAGGTCAGCGAGGAAGGAAGCAACCTGAGTTGTTCATTTTTAATATTAACTCACTAGCAGGAGAATTTTTTGTTTTTAGAAATTTAGTTTCATGCTCCTGTTATTTTGCTGTATTGGTGTATTTGCAAACTACTTTATTGAAAGATTTCAAGTAACAGTATATTGATTTCATTGACACATCTAGTTTCCATTTATTTTCATTATATGTAGCAAATCCTGAAGATTAAGATTATCCTACATTTCATCAAAATCTTTTGGGTCAGTTAATACTTGAGAACTGTGCCAGACCCATAGTGTATTTGGAGATACCCTGGTGATTTTTATGAAATAATGAAATAGTTTTGTTTTAGCTAGTATTCCTATCATTAAATTATTTTAAAATGTTTTTAAACAGTAAAATATAGTAAAGAAATTATATATGGTGATACAGAATTTCACTAAACAAAATAATAAGAATTCAACAATGGTTGTCATAGTGCCTAATGTCTTCATCATTAAATTATTTCTGATTCTGCTTGTCTGCTGGAAGAAGAATCAGCTCTGGGACTCACTTTTATATTGGAAAACTTTTTTTTTTTTTTGTATTTTAGTACAGGGTCTACAAGGTCTCACTATACAGATTGGACTCAGTGATCTGCCTGTGTTCAGCCTCCCAAGCACTAGGATTATAGGAGCGGCCACCACACCCAGTCTCAATCACTGTCTCAGAGTGCCCCGGGGGTGGGTCCTGCACGGCTTGCTGTTGATTGAAACCCAGCTGCTGGGTCTGCCTAAGCAGGCGCTTTAATCCAGTGAGCTATTTGGCCAGCCCAAGGAAGAAATATTATTATTGAGTTCACTTTATTTTGTTAGGGCAATTTATTGATCTCATTTTTAAGAGCATCTTGCAAACATCCTGCCCAATTCCTCCTAAAGAATAATTTTTATCAAAATCAAGGATCCCATTTCTGGTAGAATAGTGTACTTCTGATTTAATTGAACATTCACCTTAAAGAGGCTTCATTAACCAAGTTTGAAGACTATTTGAAATAGAATTAAAATGTAATGAGAATTTGAAAGACTAAAAAAATCTGAAGTGTATAACTGATACTGTGAAAAAGGAATAAACCTATTTAGAAGAAAGGAATTACTGAGATGAGAAGGACTGGAGAGGATGTGGGGGAAAGAGATATATCTAAGTATATAAGGATGGTTTGGATAATTGTACTGTGGATTTTTTTTGGTTTATGGAAAAGAGCTGTTAATGCTTAATTTTTTGGTTTGTTTTCTAGTCTTTTTGTTTTCCATTTTTTTCTCATCTGAATTTATTTTTGATTTTTTTTTGGTTGAATTGCTTTTTAGGATGTGTTTATTTTTTGTTTTTGGTGCACAGGACCAAACCCAGGGCTTCCAGCTTACTAGGCAAGTGTTCTACTGCTGATCCAAATCCCCAACCCCTCGTCTTAATTTCTTATAACCTCTTTTTTTTTTTTCTTACTTCTTCCAATTTTGCATGCATAGATCTAATAATCTGAACAACTAATTTGAAGACAACACTATGCAATACAACAAACACTATCAAATTTACATTCTTTAGTGAAATTCTGTATCATTTCTAATTTTTTCTATTACTATTCTGTATCCTCTAAAAATGTGATGAGTTATATTTTACTAACTCATTTGAGTGCTACTTGAAGACAACTGAAAATATTGGTCATGACTGTTGTTGGTGTGATAGGTAGCTGTGGGGATTTTATACTATTAATGTGCATGTTTGAAATTTGGCATCATAAAATACCTGGCTTTTTTGGGGAGTGTTGCAGTGTTTTAGAATTAGATTATAATTATGGGTTGTACAACTGGATGAATTTACTAAAAGTCATTCAACTGTACATTTAAAATAAGTAACTTTATATTTTTTATTTATACATATTAAGTATCTGATTTTTTATACCTGTAAAAAACATTTAGATGTCAATTTACCTGAACTTTTGTTTTTGTTTCTTTCAGTATGAAGAAAACATTCGAAAAGCTTATAAAATCCTGCTTAGGAGATTGAAAAAACGCAGAGCATCATTATTAGTACCTCTCTTCAAAAATCTAGAATCGAAGCACATGGTGGAAGAGGTAATGATACACTAAAAATAATTGTTTGTTCAATATTTTTTAATTACAGAAGTTTCTTCATTTTTGGTGGAACTGGGGATTGAAAACAGAATAGTTTCTTTTTCTTTTTTTTTAATAAATTTTATTGAGAAAAAAATTTGCAATGTGATAGCTTCAAAACAAGTTAGTAGCAGGGTTACGAAAATTCATACATTGCATATTGTTGTCTTTGTAGTAGTCATTCATAGCACAAGAAGCAGACATGATATACTATACAAATGCTATTAGTACAGATCTTTCTTACTGAATTAGGAGAAAGTAGCTATATATCTATTGTAACTATTTTGTATATACAGATACAAAATTGTCCTTCACTTATATCACCTTTTTTTGTTCAGTTTTGTCAGAGATGGGTATTCCATTGCCATCAAAATATTGTAAGTGTATGAATTCAGCAAAATATTCCAATTTCGTCCAGTACGCCACAATAGTAGTGCATTATCCACAGGACTGGCAATGTCCGAATCTTATGACTTGAGCCTTCCACAGCTCAGTGTATTAACATGGCTTCACTTTTTATACCTCATTTCTAAACTTTTCTGCTGGATGGTTAAGACCAAGATAAAGCAAGACCTATATAACAAAAAACGTAACTTTTGTATCTCATATGGTCAGTCAAGTCCCCTCACGACTTATCCCAAAACCCTGTACTGCACTTTGTAGATCCTTTGCCTGTGTCAGCCATGGGCATGAATCCCGACCATTGCTTGACCAATTTGCTCTCTGAGAAAGCCTGAGAGAATGTTTTCTCTCCATGTGACTCTCTTTAGGCACACAATACACCATCAATCACATTCCTCTGTGGCCCCATAATCCTTGATCAGAAAATTTGGGGCACAATTGAGTTACATGATGCTACAGTACAGGTTCTATTATGTCCTGAGTCCTCACTGACCTTGAAAGGCTAGGGCCAAAATGTTGGCTGTCCTTGCAGGCCTTCCTTTTCTCTAATTTTTGGTCTGCAAACTAAGGTTGTTAACCCTCTAGAAGAGAAGCTTATTATTGACCTACAACACATGGAGGTAGGTTTAGCCTCACTATCTGTCTGAATATCAAACATCTTAGGCATAAGATGGAACATCTTAAAAAAAATTACTGGAGATACAGTCTGGCCATAATTGGTATGTCAGGACAAGCAGTATGTATTTAGAAGACAGGCATTACAAGCATGACCCCATTATTACACATTGCCATCTTCGGTGCAGTCGCTTAGTGCACATGTATCAACACATAGTTAATCAGGGTGAGAATCCCACC